AAGTATAATCACGATGACATAAACATTCCTTGACGGGAAATTCCTATTCTCATGGCAATTCAAGTTAATTAAGCAAGAAGGAGTTAATTCAAGTTCATCTTTCGATCCTTCGTTGAGAAAGGTAGGATAAAAAATCCTAACATTGGCCAAATGTAAGAACTAACAAGGAAACCACTTAAGCTCAACTAATTAACACCCCTCAATTACCAAATTATCACATGCAACAAGTTATTACCCAAACCCTAAAAAATTAAACTACTCACTATCCATGGAAGAAAGTTCAATCAACAATTCTAAGCAATTCATGAACAAATTTGAGATTAATATTAAGCTCGTTAACAATCCAAGCATACAAGAATTTAACAAGTAATTAACAACTAAGTAGAGAGAAGATAGAAAAGTAAGGAAAGAAAATATTACTAGAAGCTTCAAACTTGAATAACAATGGTGGAGTTCCTCTTCTACAATGATTGATATTGTAATTTCCAAGCTAAAAACTAAATTCTAAGTGTGAATTTGAGAGTTTTTGAAGTACTAAGATTACAAACTAAGAAAAAAACTCTAAAAACTTGGATGTCGTACAATGGGAAGTAAAGGGGTATTTATATTACCACCAAACCGTGCACGGCTGTGCACGGACATGCAGAAATATGGCACGGATGTGCCAAGCATAGACGTGCCTAATTTTGCACGGACGTGCAGACCTTGGCAATGACTTCAGCTCCTTCAGACTTCCCCTACACGAACGTGCCAAGGTTTGCACAGCCGTGTAAGGTCTTCGAAGCCTCATTTTGCCTTCATTCTTCGTTCTTGTTTTCTCATAGACTACCAAAGCTTCATTTCTTTTTTTTCATTGCTGCTAAATTCCTTGCTCACTCGCTGAGGTGCTTCAAAGCTCCTTCTTTGGACCTAAAATATCATTAAAAATAATAACAACCCCGTGAAGCACATAATACACACAAATGCATAAAAATGGAGTGATTAGTGAACTAAGACATTGATTTCTCACAATTTCAAGGCTCAAAATCACTCTATAATCATACCAAAATACAAGCTATCAGCTACACAACCGAAAACCTTTAAGTGAGACAATTTTATCTCTTCTCCGCTCCAAACCTCTGGTATTTTGTGTTCTAATGGAGTTGATTGCCCTTGATTAATCGAGGGAGCTGCTATGTTGATTGCCCTTCAATAAACATGACTGCGTACGAATGCTTCTTGCTCTTTCTGTCAACGTTCCGTTCATATTTATACGCTCAGTTACACCATTATGTTTAGGAGTACGGAGTACCCGACACAGTTCTCTCCATCTTGATTCCATGCTTATAGCAAAACTTCTTAAATGTGGTGTCTTCTGGCAGTTTTGTACTTTTTAATTTTTAAACCTGTTTCATTTTCCACCATAGTTTTCCATCGCTTGAAAGCTTCAAACACTTCAGATTTTTGTTTTAAGAAGTAAACACATACCTCCTGTGAGTGATTATCAATATAAGTGAAAAAGTAGTGTTTTCCACTGATGGATGAAGTTGTTGTTGGTCCCCAAACATTAAGTGAAATACTGCAACTTTTATTTCTTTGGGGTTCCACCACTAATTTTGCTTTCTAAGTATGCATTCTTCACTCATGTCCATATCAACTAATTCTAAACCTAGGATTTCCCTTTAGAATGCATTAGTTTCATCCCTTTTTCACTCTTGTGGCCAAGTCTTTGGTGTCACAATTAGTTTCATCCCTTTTTCTTTTGATTGAATTTCTTCCTCTTGACTGTATATGTAAAACTGAAGAGGATGATTCACCCGACTCTCTTCACTAAGAACCAGATCATGAACGTCCTTAAATTTCAACTTATTCCTTCCTTACGAGCTACTCAAAGCTGTGACGGTTGCATTCGATAATGAAGCCCAAAAGTATCAGCTCTCGAACTTCATCTTCAAAATCAATTTCAAATGAACTCAGTTGGGTTGTGATATAATTGAGTTCATTAAGATGTATAAAGCAACATCTGCCTTCCGTCATCTGCAAATTGAATAACGGCCTCATACATACTAGAGAGTGCTTTCATCAGTGGTCTTTTCCTTTGCTATATTTAAAGCAACATTGCGTGATAATGTTAACCGAATAACTCTGACGACTTGTCTATCAAGAACATTCCAATCTTCATGTTTCATACTCCCTAGCTTTGTTTCTTAGAGAGGTTCATAAACTTTTCCTGGTATAAATAATCTTCGATTTGCATCTTCCAAAACCCGAAATCTACTCCGCTGAATTTCTCGTGTTTTAACTTTTCCTGTGTCTGCAGCCATTGCTCCCACTCAAATCTGATTTGTTTGGATCGTTTCAATGTTGACCAGAATACCAACTCGTTAGGAAATATTATGCAACTTTCCCTTAGAATCAGATTAGTGGGAATAAAAATAATAGTAGAAATAACACAAATAAATTAACAACTGTATATCTAACTATGCTGCCAAACTTTTACTAAAAATGATAAAAACAACAAGTGTTTACAACACTTATAAAATACACATTCCACACACCTCAATTACACCTAAGAATTTTTCTCTAAATAATTCTATCAAAGCTTCTCTCTTTAGGCTTTTACTCTTTTTTGTTTTTTTGGGATACCAATACAATGATTAATAGCATGTATATATATGCTATCCTTAAATTAGTGGGTGAATTAAAGTAAGTAAGCGAACACCTCAAATTATTAATTTCCTCCAATCTTGCGAAGGATGATGCTTATTATATTATTTCTTGAACTCAAATAAAGAATGGTTTCATTCCTTCGACAAATCCAACCATACGGTTGAGCTATTATTAACAAAATGACTACTATTTTTTATTAAATGAAGTCCTAAAGTACACTATTTTCATTAAATTCATACGACATCTACAATTGACAATTAACAACAAGGAAAATAAATTTCACACAATCAAACAAGAATTAACTATGAAAGGACTAAGAATCCAAATATATAGACATAACAATTCGACACATTTTTGATTCGTTGTCTCTTACCCCTCCGTGTTTAAATAAATGAAACGTTTTGACTTTCACGGAGTTTTAGGAAGGTAAGTTGAATTTATTAAAATAATAGATAGTGGGGTATAAGTTGAGGAGAGAAAAGAGGGTAACGGGTTTTATGGGGACCATTAGTTAGTAGAATGTTATTAAAAATGAAGAGAATATTATTAAAAAAGGGGGGGGGGGGGGGGAAGGAACTAAAAAAGGAAACATTTTATTTATTTAATCACAACCGGAAAAGAAAAACGTTTCATTTATTTAAACACGAAGGGAGTACAACTTTATGAGTGGATTCGTCGTCGCTTCGTAATTTTGGGAAGAAAATTATTGTAATAATTTTGTAACATCGCAATCAACATCAATCATACCCTCGTATAATTTGGGATTTTTTCAAGCGTAAAGAACACCTTGTCTTTCAAATAACGTTAACATTGTCTTTTAAAGGCAATTAAAAAAATCTTGTCTTTCGAAGGAGAAAAACCCTTTTTTTTTTTTTTAAGGAACCAAATTTTTCTCAATCAAAGAAACCATTATTATAAGGCAAAAAAAAAAAAAAAAAAAAAAAAACTAAGATTGGGATTTTCCACCACATCTTATAGAAGCCCCTTCAAAAATTGACAATGGAGGCTAGGGTTTATGAGTGAGGGGGGAGGTTAGGTTTTTTTTTGAAATTGTTAAAATATTGGTTTTATAGTGATGACAAATATTATTAAAAGGTAGAATTAATACAAACTTAAGAAATTTTCAAAATTCATTAATGCATGCCTAATAAATTCTAAAGGGGTTATGCATCAAATGAGAAGATCCTTGAAATGAGAATTAATATAAACTAAGATCAATGTATTTTCTCCTTCTTTCTCTTCTTTTTTTCCTCCTTCAAAACCCTAGAAAGATTTGTTGTGGCTACCATCAACCTAGAACCTATTTTTTTCTAGTTTTTATAAATCAGGCTCATAATAAACCTCCATCCTCTTCATTAAAAAGTTTTTCTACGAAATTTTTATGTTGAACCTATTCGTATATTAGGTTTTATTTCTCTCATTGTGAGATTTTGGGGCTATTTCTTTTGGTTCCATAAGAAAAATTTGTTTTTTCATGAGGATTTGTGCAATGATGCAATAGGTGTCAATTTTATATCTACGATCAATTGCATCAAATTTTGTTCGATTTTAAAAGTACAATAAATCAAAAGACCCCCCTCTTGGAAGACTATTAGAAAAGTGAAGTTAAAGAGGATATTCATCAATGCCGGGTCTTATCTATAACGATCGTAGTTTTTCCTAATTTAAATATTATTTTATTTAATTTGTTGTATTTGCTAGTTTTGAACTATATTGTAGATGATCTTTCTTTTCTCACTTTACTCATCTTTTTTCAAACTCTTTCAATTGATTATCTTGTTATGTCCCTTTCTTTATATCCTACGGCTCCTTATAAAGATATTGTTAACTGACCCCAAATCATATTGGGGCTGACCCTTATTATCTTTAAATACCAATAAGTATAATTACAAACAGTTGATATTCGAAAATTACATTGAGACAATTCTAACAAATACCACATGACTATTTGATATTTTGCATAATACTTAAATGGAGGTTAAAGTTGTGTATGTGAACGGCGTAAAAGTTAAAATGGGCATTTATTTTGAAACGGATGGAGTAAGGCTCAAGTCCTCACTGATCAAGCTCCAAATTCATACACAGTAAAGTTGACTTTTACTGGGGGTTATGACAATCTAAGATCGGATCATGGTTATGTAATTCGCATAACAAGTTTTCAATCAAAATCAAATAAAAAACCTTATCATTGTTCTTATTTTTTTCATTTTTCAAAGCAATAAAGACTTAAACTAACCACAAAGCAATGAAAAATAGTTGATATCTAAACAGCTCATTTGCCAATCGCCATTCATGAGTTTCTTGTATGAAACAAAGGAACTTTAATACTATTTCTTGCCTCGTTATTGTAGTCAAGCATGTACCAGCTCTTAAGCTATTGGGCTGATGACATACAAGTTCGAGCAGCGCTTCACATTCAAAAGGTATACAAAGTACAAGCTCAAATAGGTTGATTTCAAGTTATAGATAGTCTTAGTAGCCAATTTCTTCTGCTTTCTTGTAATCTGATTTAGCACCTTGTAAATTTTAGTATCTACATGTTTAGGGTACTAAAGGTCCCTGGGTCAGATGTAATTATACTACAGCATATACAAAAAATGTTGGCAGCACCGTTGATTACCATCAAAATTTTACTCATGAACACATTCGTGCCCTAATCTTCAGGTAATAAACTACTCTAATTCTTACACTTTTTTATTTACACAGGACTTTACAGCCTTTTGCTATATGCTAAGTGAGCTATTTTATGTCAAATTTATTTGGGATAATCTCCCCAAATCCCAATTTATCAAATATCATTATAAATAGTTATTATAGTTGTGATAATAAAAAAAAATAAAAATAAAAAATAAAATAAAATAAAAAGAACAAAAAGAATAAAAAAGCTGGCGAAGGGGTTTTTTTTGGGTTTAAGGTGGACTAGAAGTCCAACTTTGCCGAGGGTTGTAAATGAGAAGAACTAAGTTGTATTTTGTCTACGTGGGGAAAAATAAAACTATTGTTGAGGTTAATATGTGTTGTCTAATATTAAATTGTAGTGGTGGTCATTGTATTCCCAAAGATATTGATGATGAAGTTTTTTCGTCATAAGAGATAATTAAGGATCATGGATTTTCCCTTTATTATTAGGGGTTTAGAGGTGAGTTTTCCACGTAAAGTTCTTATAAGTCTCATGTTATTTGGACATTAATTTCTTCTTAATATTGTGTTTCTTTGTTGTTTCATTCCCAGCAATTATCAATTTATCGTGTAAAAAAAAAAAACCTATCAATTTGTTCGTTGGAATTGAGGGAAATATTTTAGTGCTTATGTGGAACGGATTCATAATTTCTTGCATATTATCTTAACCAAATTTGTGCCCCACATCTCTAATGACATATTTACCAAGGAAAATGGACTCCTCTTGTCTCACACTTTAAAAAGCAAAATCCTACTATATAGCTTAATAATTTGTTGGCAAACATGGATTTCTGTACTTTGGACAATATTAAAACCATCATTATCACCTTTTAAGACAACATTGGCTCAAAAGAATGAGACCAAAGTGAGATTGAGGGAATCAAAGTAACAAATTTTCACTATGAATTCTTACTAGATACATCCTCAGTTTTCTTTTTTAATTGCACCGTATTTCTTTTTTGGGAAGTCGTATATTAATTGCACCATTTTCTTACAAGGTAGGTTTATTTCACTTTTTGGTTGTGTTTACACAAAAATCCTACCTACCCTTGGTCACATATGATAACAACCATTATTACCCCACCTTTTCTATCTCTCATTTGTTTTTTTCACATGGGCAATTTCAATATACTCCATCTTTTACACTTTTTCTTAAATCCCGTGCCCAATTAAAAAAAACCGAGGAAATAAAGTCCTTATTCTAGCAAAGTCATAGTCCGAATTAACTAGGAAAACAATTACTCTCTCCATTTCAAAATAAATGCCCCAATTTGAATTTTTGCATTATTCATGTAATCTTTGACTAATCTTAGTGATTAATATAAGAAAAAAATACAGTAATGTGAGTACTTGTCATAATCATTTCAATGTATAGTTTCCAAATATCAACTTTTTATAATTTGTAATGAAAGATATTATTGGTCAAAGTTCATGTGCCCCGTCAAAATGGGGCATTTATTTTTAAACATGAGGAGTATTGTTTTGTGTGCTTGGGTGCACAATACTCACTATGTACCAGAAGAACATAAAAACGGGTATTCAATGACCGTATGGGCTTAAACAACAACAACAACAACAACAAAGCCTTAGTCCCAAAATGATTTTGGATCGGCTAACATGAATCGTCATAAGGAATCGAACGATATAAAGAAAAGGACATAACAAAATAATCATTTGAAAGAGGTGAGTAAAGTGGGCAAACAAAAGAGCATTCGAGAAACAATTGTGTCACCAATATCTTGAGTTCGATCTCCATAGAATAAATTATCAAATAAGACTTACATTTTTCCTTTATCTCCTTGTCTCCAACAAGAACTCTTTGGTCAATATCCCTCACACACTTGACCTTTTCAATATCCTGCGTCTTCCAATCTCTAATATGAGCAAGCCTATAGATGCTTTTTTCTTCTTCCTTCGTATCCAAGCTTGCATAAAGGTCTCGATTCACTTACGTTCTCGCATCCCTTACAGCTTTCTTCACTTCTTTTCTAGCTTCTTTATACTTCTCATAATTTTTGTCACTCCTGCATTTCCCCAACATCTTACTTATAGCATTCTCGCTTGTTCTTTATCACATGTCGCACTTCTTCATTCCACCAAGATGTGTCCTTTCTCGGTGGCATGCTTCTTTTGGATTCTCCTAGGATTTCTTTCGCCAATTCCTTAGTGATATGCTCTAATTTACTCCACATTGTATCTACATCCAAATCAATGCCACCGGACCGGACCAAATTCCTACATCTTTCATTTTTCTTACAAATCTTTGTTGGTTTTCCCCTTGAAGTTTCTACCACTTGATCTTAGGCTCCACTTGTGGTCTCCGCGTCCTTACATATTTGCAACCTCGAAAATCAAGCACCACAAGTCTATGTTGAGTTATTGTACTCTCGCTCGGGATCACCTTACAATCAACGTAACTCTTCCTCCAAGCATTCCTTACCAAAATGAAATTACTTTGACTGCATTGCCTTGCCCCCGTTCCTGTAAGTCACTAGGTGAGGGGTTCTTTTTTCAAACCAAGTGTTCATGATACTATAGTCATATGCCAATGCAAAATCCAAAATATCATTTCCCACTGCATTCCTATCTCCATACCCAAAACCTCCATGAATACTTTCAAAGTCATCCCTTCTTATATGTCCATTGAGATCGCCCCCAATGACCAGCTTTTCACCCTTGGGGACCTGTTGCACCACTTCTTTGAAGTCATTTCAAAATTCTTGTCTAATGGAGGCATTCAATCCTACTTGTAGGGTATAAGCACTTATAATAGTTACGACTTCTTCACCTATCACAAGCTTAACACTAATAAACCGATCACTCCTTCTAGACACCTCAACCACATCATCAACAAATTTTTGATCAATGAGGATACCTACTCCATTCCTACCCTTATCCTTACCCGAGTACCAAAGCTTATAACCCCATGGAGCTACTTCCTTTGCCTTGTGTCCAACCCACTTAGTTTCTTGTAGACACATTATGTCATTTCTCTTCTTCATAACCTCTACTAATTCATCTAACCTCCCAGTTAAAAAGCCAACATTCCAAGTCCCAAAATGCATCCTATTACCCTTACTATTTCCATAAACTAGCTTCTTTACCCTCATTCGTCCGTCATGCGGGAACCCTTGCATACTTGACACCACCCCTGGGCAGCGGGATGGCGCGTTGCTTCTGGGTGACGACCTAGCAACCCTTGCATATTTTTCACTACACCCGGGCCTATGATGTGCAGCGCATCGCTGAGTAGGGAACGCCCCCACGTTATCCAAATTTCGATTCATGTCCATAAGATGAGACTATGATTTACGCTGGCTGCCACATACCTACCGCAACTCTCCTCCTTTATCCGGGCTTGAGACCGGCAATGAATTATGGCAATCACAGGCAAAGTTACCGTATGGGCTTAAACAAATGAGCATAAATTTGTAAACCTTAAAAGAAAATAAAAGTTATAAACAAATGGACATGGACTCCAAAAATATAAAGGAGTAATTTAAATGCAAAGAAAATGTAGTTCAAACACAAAGCACATGTTCACTTTTAACTCATAAATTAAAAGAGCATATGTCGTATTGAAAAAATTAAAAATTAAAAGATATTACATAGTTCAAAACCATAGAATATATAGTTCAAAATTAAAGAACATATGCACCAGGTTGCACCATATAATTTGCTTGCAGGGGTTATTGCCTATATAGCTAATATAATTATGTTTTTTTTGAGTTTGCATAAGTAAACATCAATTTATGTATTTTTGGAGAGCTCATGTTTTCAGTCCTCTCCCCCTTGGAGGAAAAATCATGTATATAAATAAACACATCTAGGAGAAAACAAAAAATCGAAAGCTATCAATTAGCCTTATTTGGGGATAATAAAAATTGGTAAGGAGTCAATAGAGGGCAATTAAGGCGCAATGAACAAGGCTTAAATTGAGGAAGCAATTTTGGTAATAACAACTTATGGCATTGATTATGCCCCAAATTACGACATGGAGAATAAGAAATTGATCATTTTTTGAAGCATACGACTTGGAGTTAGAAGTCTTAGAATTAACCCCAACATAAGATTATCTGTATAATTATTTTGATCGTAGTAGTGACGTCTGATCTGCAGTTTCTTTTTAATGGAAGTGGTGACCAAGACATGATTGTACCATATGTGTCAACTTTGAAATGGATTGAGATGCTAAATGTCCCAATTACTGAAGCTTGGAGGCCATGGATTTTCAATGGTCAAGTTGCTGGGTGAGGAGCTAAATCCTTAAATGAAATCAACCGCATACTAAACTAGTTTTTAGTTGTCTAATGCTCAAATATATGTTAAATCCTTCCTATTCTCTCAAATTTTTAGTTGAATGTGCAGGTATACAACAAAGTATTCAAATGACAATTATAATTTAACATATGCTACTGTAAAGGTAAAACACTTATTTTCTAGCATGTATATTATTTGGTTTGAAAGAGTAACTGTTATAAACGGAACTGCGGGAACAAAAACAGTAAGAACAAAGTTACCGAAAATTAGACTGAGTCGCGGACTATGTCGCTTTCCTTAGAACATTCACGGCACTGCCCTGAAAATGTGCAAGCAGTTCGTACTAAACCGGATGTTCCCCAGGATAAAACAGCCTTTCTCTATTGTAATTATACCGGTGGAACTGCACAAAACCACCGGGCAACTAAACACCGAAAAGAAAAGAAACTGCTCGAGGGTTTTGTTTTTGTGAGGAAAAATAGAGAGGAGAAGAAGATTGCTTTCTGTATTTTTTTGTGTGTCAAAAACAGGAAATCAACACGCCTTTTATAGGCAAAATTGCAACGTAACTGCTGCTGTTTAATTAGGCACTAATCACGCAATTAAAACGGTCATAAGTTGAACGTTCAAAACGGTTACAGAAGATTAATGCGTGGCAAAACATTTAGCACAAAATCAGTGAAAACGTTTGCATGATTAACGCTCCATTAATCAGTTTTGAAAAAAACGGTCAAATGTAATCAGTCAAAAACGTTTAGCAAAAATCAAGGAACTAATCACGCAATTAGCCTTGTCCAAAAAATAAGTTTATTTAATAAACCCGACCCGACCCGACCCAACCCGGCCCGGTTCGGCGCGCGTGTGTGTGATAGATGGTTTACCATATAGGTCCTCCCTCTCCACAAAATGTGGGTAGCCCAAGGGCCACACCCCTTTAGCCCACTCTCTATATTATAAAGAGAGTAAAACTCTCATTTCCCACCAATGTGGGACTTTGAGTTTTTTCACAAAATTCACACACTACACACTTGTTGTTCCAACAATCCCCCACTTGAATTTTTTGAAAACATTTTCGAGCAGAATCCATACATATATAGGTTGCGCATAAACAGAAGTGTTTTTCAACTTGAACTTCGACGTAGTGAGTACGATTCAGATTCAACAAGGGTGACTCGAAGTTTTGAACCCTATCTCTGACAACGTACCACACACAACCTACTCTTGGTGTTGTTCTAGACCCGTGCTATTTCGGCCATGCACGTCTATCCCAGTGTAGTGAATGCTCTAGAAATGCTGCCACACATTTCATAGGAAGCGGCCTAACTTCCACATTCACATAGGTGAATCTATCAAGAGTACTCCTGTAGCTTGGTACTCCACTCCAAATTGGAGTATAGATTTCATTAAGAGTTCCTATTAACTCATCCTTGATCGCTTCAGGAAATTATGTCTTTTGAACATATTCAACTCATAACACACCATAACTTGTTATTACCCTTTGAACCTATTTCTTGGGATCTCCAGTTCATAGGTTGGGTTACCATTATGTGTGGTTCATTTCAATGGCAATAGTCCCATTTTCTTAGAGGAAAAATTGACTTTCTCCCTAGCTAATCCTTTCGTCAAAGGATCAGCCAAGTTATTCTCAGTGCGTACGTGATCCACTCTAACAGCTCCGATAGAGAGATATTCTCTCACAGTGCTGTGCTTACGACGTATTTGTCGTCTCTTACCGTTGTAATAACGGTTCTGAACTTTTGCAATAGCCGCGGTACTATCGCAATGGATCAAGACAGCCGGTAATGGCTTTTCCCATAGGGGAATTTCACCTAGCAGGCCTCTTAACCAACCTGCTTCTTCACTAGCCGTAGCTAGTGCTATCATTTCTGACTCCATGGTGGACTGAGCCAAAATAGTCTGTTTCTTAGACTTCCAAGATACAGCTCCACCGGCTATAGAAAAAATATATCCACTAGTAGCCTTAGAGTCATCTGATAAGGTGTTCCAGTCAGCATCACTATAGCCTTCTAGTACAGCTGGAAACCTTTCATAATGCAACCCTAGGTTCATGGTCCTCTTAAGGTATCTCATGACCCTTTCAATAGCATGCCAATGCTCATTACCAGGACAACTAGTAAACCTGCCTAACAATCCCACGACATAGGCAATGTCGGGTCTAGTACAATCAGTGGCATACCGAAGGCTGCCAATGATGCTCGCATAATCAGATTGCCTTACGGCATCACCAGTGTTCTTAAACAATTTAACACTGGGATCATAAGGTGTACTAACAGGTTTACAGTCAAAGTAACTATATTTCTTTAGGATCTTCTCAATGTAATGAGATTGATCCAAAGAAACTCCATTTTCTGTCCTAGTAATCTTAATTCCAAGGATTACATTAGCCTCTCCTAGGTCTTTCATATCAAACTCAGCATTCAACAATAGCTTTACATCATTCACAGCATGAATGTTCGAGCCAAAAATTAACAAGTCATCCACATATAGACAAATTATAGTGCATATGTCATTCTCAAATTTTACATATATGCATTTGTCACTACCATTTATCTTAAAACCATGTGAGATGACTAAGTTATCAAATTTTTCATGCCATTGTTTAGGTGCTTGTTTGAGACCATAAAGAGATTTATCTAGCTTACATACCAGATGCTCTTTTCCTTGAACAACGAATCCTTCCGGTTGATCCATGTAGATTTCTTCTTCCAGTTCACCGTTCAAGAATGCAGTCTTTACATCCATTTGATGTACTACAAGATTAAAAACAGAAGCAAGAGATATTAATACTCTAATAGATGTTACTCTAGTTACAGGTGAATAGGTATCAAAGAAATCAACATTCTCCCTTTGTCTGTAGCCTTTAGCTACCAAACGGGCTTTGAACTTATCAATGGTCCCATCAACTTTCAGCTTTCTTTTTAGGACCCATTTGCAACCAATTGACTTGCAGCCTGGTGGCAACTCAGTTAGATGCCAAGTTCGATTAGACTCAAGTGAGTCCATTTCGTCGTTCACGGCTTCTTGCCATAAATCTGCATCCACTGAGGTTAGAGCTTCTTGGAGGGTAGAAGGATCCTCCTCTACATTCAGAACTACAAAGTCTGGGCCGAAGTCTTTTGCTACTCTAGCCCGCTTGCTCTTTCTTAGTTCGGGTTCAGCATCCAAGTCTTGTGAGTTAGACCTGTCTTTAGGAATAATAGAGGAGGACGAGCCCCCACTATTTCTAGATTTAAAAGGAAACCTGTCCTCATAAAAATCAACATCATTAGATTCAATAATTACACGAGCATTTAAATCAAAGAATCTATATGCCTTACTGTTAATAGCATATCCAATGAATACGCATTCATAAGCTCTACTAGCTAATTTAACTCTTTTAGGATCAGGAATCCTAACATATGCTAGACAACCCCAAGTTCTGAAATAAGAAATGTTAGGTCGTTTATTACGAAGTATTTCATAGGGAGAAACCTTACTCTTAGTCTTTGGAATACGGTTTAAGACATAACAAACAGTTAGTAGAATTTCACCCCACCAATGATCAGCAGCACCAGAATATAAGGAAATAGCAACTACTAATTCTGTAAAGGTCCTATTTTTCCTTTCAGCCTTTCCATTCATTTCTGGGGAATAAGGAGCTGTCCTTTCATGTATGATACCATGTGAATTATAAAATTCTACAAAAGCATCAGTATCATACTCAGTTCCACGATCACTTCGTAATCTTTTTATTTTCTTGTTAAACTGATTCTCAAATTCTGTTATAAACAACTTAAACATTTCAAAATCATCACTCTTATTTTTCATCAAATAAATACAAGTATAATCAGAACAATCATCAATAAAGGTGATAAAGTATCGTTGTCCATTTCTGGTCAACGTTCCATTTAGTTCACAAATATCCGAATGAATTAAGTCTAATGGTTCTGAATTTCTAATCACTGATTTATGAGGTGTTTTTGTAATCTTAGCCTGACTACAAGAATCACATTTGTCAAAGTCATTGAGAGAGATATTTGGAATAAGGCCTAAATTGCTCATATTTTTTATGAGTCTTTTGTTCACATGACAAAGTCTAGTATGCCAAACATTAATAGTAGAACACAACATATAAGCAGAATTAGAAATTTTATTAACTTCAACATTCAGTTTAAACATGCCATCAGTAGCATATCCTTTTCCTACAAATATTCCATTCTTAGTTAAAGTAAACAAATCAGAACCTATGGTTTGTATAAAACCAGCCTTATTAAGCAAAAAACCAGAAACTAAATTCTTCCTCATTTCCGGAGTGTGTAACACATCTTTCAGAATGAGAGTCCTGCCAGAAGTAAACTTCAACTCAACATTTCCAACACCAGCAATGTTAGTGGAATGGGAATCACCCAACAGTACTTTCTTATCATCGGTCTTTTCAGTGTATGTTTTAAACATTCGACGATCATAACAGACATGGCGTGTGGCACCAGTGTCTATCCACCACCCATCTGATCCACCAGTAAGGTTGATCTCAGTAATCATAGCCACAAAAGGCTCTTCAATCATGCTAGCCTGCGCAGGCACAGGGTTAGGCATGTTCCTGCACTTTCGTGCCATATGGCCTGGTTTTCCACACCGATAGCACAGAAATTGACCAGTACCATTCTTAGGGGGTTGTGACTGTTGTCTTCCATTGTTCTTTTGAACATTCGGTTTATTGAAGTTATTCTTCCGGTTCTGAGGTTTGAAATTCTTACCAGCAGGTTTAAGTACTGCAGCAGATCGCCTAGGAGCATTATTAGCAGAGATTTGTAAAATCTCTTCCTTTAGATCCTGTTTTCTGGATTCTTCTTCTATACGTAGCCGAGTGATCAAACTCTCTAAGGAGAATTCCTTAGTCTTATGCCTGAGATTATTTTTGAAATCTTTCCAGGAAGGAGGCAACTTGTCAATAATAACAGCAATTTGAAATTGTTCATCAAGGGCCATACCTTCGGAAATTATCTCATGGGCAATTTTCTGAAGGTCGTGAGACTGCACTTCCACGGACTTATCATCAGTCATCTGGAATTTTAGGTACCTACTGACAGCATACTTTTTGGCACCTGCTTCTTCAGTATCATATTTTTTTTGTAGGGCATCCCACAAATCCTTAGCAGTATTTTCCATATTATAATAGTCATAGAGGTTATCAGACAGACCATTAAGTATATAGTTTTTGCACATGAAGTCAGTTTCATTCCAGGTTTCGATTTCACTATTCAAGTAAGCTAATTCATCTTCAGGAGCATTATCAGGAATAAATGGCCGAGGGGCTGTTAAGGCAGAATTAACTTTTTTGACAGTTAAGAAAAATTGCATTTTCTGTTTCCATCTTTTAAAGTGAGCTCCTTCAAAACGGAAGGGCTTGTTAAGGTCAGCAGACATAGTAATATCTTCGGTAGACATATAGTTCATACAGGCAGAAAGTAATGTTCTAAAACTGTTATAAACGGAACTGCGGGAACAAAAACAGTAAGAACAAAGTTACCGAAAATTAGACTGAGTCGCGGACTATGTCGCTTTCCTTAGAACATTCACGGCACTGCCCTGAAAATGTGCAAGCAGTTCGTACTAAACCGGATGTTCCCCAGGATAAAACAGCCTTTCTCTATTGTAATTATACCGGTGGAACTGCACAAAACCACCGGGCAACTAAACACCGAAAAGAAAAGAAACTGCTCGAGGGTTTTGTTTTTGTGAGGAAAAATAGAGAGGAGAAGAAGATTGCTTTCTGTATTTTTTTGTGTGTCAAAAACAGGAAATCAACACGCCTTTTATAGGCAAAATTGCAACGTAACTGCTGCTGTTTAATTAGGCACTAATCACGCAATTAAAACGGTCATAAGTTGAACGTTCAAAACGGTTACAAAAGATTAATGCGTGGCAAAACGTTTAGCACAAAATCAGTGAAAACGTTTGCATGATTAACGCTCCATTAATCAGTTTTGAAAAAAAACGGTCAAATGTAATCAGTCAAAAACGTTTAGCAAAAATCAAGGAACTAATCACGCAATTAGCCTTGTCCAAAAAATAAGTTTATTTAATAAACCCGACCCGACCCGACCCGGTTCGGCGCGCGTGTGTGTGATAGATGGTTTACCATATAGGTCCTCCCTCTCCACAAAATGTGGGTAGCCCAAGGGCCACACCCCTTTAGCCCACTCTCTATATTATAAAGAGAGTAAAACTCTCATTTCCCACCAATGTGGGACTTTGAGTTTTTTCACAAAATTCACACACTACACACTTGTTGTTCCAACAGTAACATGGCCAGGCATGTATTGTTAACTTGCAGGGAGCAGGGCATACTTCTCCTGAGTATAAGCGCCCAGAATGCTTGGCGATGGTCAAGAAATGGTTTGCAATGCATCCTCTTTAGTATGAAAGGGTACCCGGACAATCTTGAGGCTTGTGCTATATGTCAATTGTATAGGAGGGGCAAGTAGTTTTCTCCAACGTGTGAGGTTCACTTCTTAAAATAGTCTATTGTAAAACAAAGACTACTAGGACAGGATAATTGGTTACATTGTTGACCTTTTAGTTAACATTCTTCTATGTTCTATGTGTATGATGCATGAGATCTTGAACACCAGAGACAGTGCTAAATGTTAGACATAGGTTGTCATTCCTTGTATATGAGCATTTACGTGTAGAGAAGGAGGGTGAGGGATCCTTTTTTTTTTTTTTTTTGGCAATTTGGATGTGACTCACCGAGGCCTTAAGGGATGTGAAAAGAAGATAAAGTAGCATTGTCCTTTGAAAGTTTTCCAAACTTTGAAAAGATTATGGTTCTTTGAGGAAAGAAAATGGATCCCTCTAATCCTGATACCTTTCATTTGCTATTTTATATCCAAATAAGGCAAAATGGACCTTACCCTCCTCCATAGCTTCCTTTCTTATTTCTGTAATTCTTTCATCCAAACACACTTTAGTGCCTTAAAAAAACCTGTTGATACAAAGCACATTATTATGTAGAATTGTTGAGGTTTTCAAGTTAGTGTTTCTCTGAAATAACCTAGCAGGTGGATATCTTTCATATAGGCTGTGTAGATAATATCTGTTGCTCAAGAAAGGGTAAGAGACTGAGTAGCTTGAGATTAGCAGATGAGATGATTCGCTTTTGCTTCGTGTATGCCACAGTTTTGATTCTGTGATTGTATGCAGGAATAACAACTCGGTTTCACGTTTGTCTTTGTTTTGTCTGAGATTGCTAACAAGGACATGGGTCAGCCAAAAATGATAGAATTGCTCATTCCATATTCCAAATTTGCATTTCCTGAACCGCATATTATGTTTTATAACCCTCCCATGGATTCTGTAACTCAAATCTTAGTCAGCAAAATGTGCAAAGCAAAGGTGATAGGAGAAGAAACTTGCATAATGTATAGATTAAAAAATAAAGCCTAATTCAACTTCGAAGAGAAGCCATAGAAGGCCCCTTCCCAAAAGATAGAGCATATAGGAAGAAATAGAGGGATGACAGGAAAAGGGAGACCTAGAGAATATTTTATCAAGCAGAAGAACTCAAGAACAGAAAGGAGCGCGGTATAGTGAGCTGAAAAATATCTTACATGGTACGGTGTTGGACCTCACTCGACAATGCCTAGAGGAACAGAGCAATACATTCATACAGATAAAGGACTTAAATTGGTGAGTAATATCTGCCTAAGTAGAGGAGATGAGTCATGTTCACTGGGTTCAAAAAGCACCCTCCTAAACATACCTAATTTGGCAGCTCAGTAGTAATGTTTTAGTAAATACTATGAGATTCTTGCACAATTACAATATCATTCTCAACAACTTGTCACCTAAAAAATGAAATAGGTGTTGATGCATACGACAAGTGAAAACCATAACAGATAATGGAAAGATCGACTGAAGAGGGAATAAACTATACTAAAAAGGAATAAAAAAAAAAAGGAAACTTGGTTTATCAAACTATAAGAAAGATTGTTGTAGATCTAGACTTGTGTAGTGGCTCCATGCACTTTGGAATAATAAGTAATACATGCCATCTTTGCATTGCCGTTTGGGCAAACAACTTCTTCTGATATTTACACCATCATATTACCTAACAGAATTTCTGATAGTAGCATTCTTGGAGGACAGCAAAATATGTGTGACAAACTAACTATTCTTGTAGATATATTAGAATAAAATACTTAGTTTATTACCTGTATGTGTACTTCTATATAAGCTAACCACATATATTTCTGCAGAGCTTTGATGATGTTCCTTCAACCTTCTGTATACCTTATTAGGACCATTATAATACAGAGGTCCGACTAACCCGTTAACTAACATTCTTGTAGCTTTTGAACTCTTCTCGAACATCTAAAAGATAAGCAGATGTTCAGAGAAGATTCATCTTCATTTGATCATTCAAGAACAAGGGAATCGACGAGTGGGCAATTGCCGGATGATCAGCAGATGGGAGCTACTACTGAGTCAATGACTGGAACTGAGTATTGGAAGCTTACCAGCTTGTGCTTCTTACCTAGGGAATTAAACCTGAATCCGGCTCGCATTGTATGTCTACGTTATGTAGAGTCTAATGGTCTTATTTCATTCTACAATTTCAGACATAAAATGTGCCTCTTCTGTATGCATTGATACATTATCATTTCTTACATTTATGCTGCAGGCATTAGCAGAAGGTCTCGGAACGTTCATATTGATGTTCAGCATATGTGGGATAATGGGGAGTATGCAATTGTTAGGGAACCAAGTAGGTCTTTTGGAGTATGCAACTACAGCTGGTACAGCCATAGTTGTCATTATTTTCACTTTGGGGGAAACCTCAGGTGCTCATGTCAATCCTGCTGTCACAATTGCCTTTGCTGTTTTCGGTCATTTTCCATGGAAAAAGGTACGTGTGATTCGTGTTTTCATTTCCATTTCTTTGTTATTTAACAATGAAATCTGAAAGTATAACTTTTGGTTGGTCTAAGTCACCATCCAGGCATTCGAAATCTTAATATAATCTTGTGAGACAATGAATTTTACCATATATAAAAGCAAGAAATCATCCTGCTCCTACAGTTAAGACTGATAAACTTTTAAAATTTGGCCAGTTGCTTCACATTTAGCCTTGTTAAGATTTAAGCATAGTCCTATATATATCAGCTACATGATTTCTTAAATTAGTAGTGTACTTATGTAGTTGTATTATTTACATATATCGCCTTTCTCCAGTCTGGTATTTTTATATTAATTGAGCTTGTTGTAACCCTATGTAAATGATTTCAACAGAATGCTAATTAAAACATTACATGTAACAATCGAACAAACTGGTGCAAGGCAAAGTTTTCATCTCTCTTTAATCTGACTTCTACTGTCTGAAGCTAATTTCTGATTTTGTCTTGTACTTGGGCCTTAACCTATAATGATCTTATGGCATCTCAGCTGTCATTGTATGACAATTGATAACACGGAGTTTTTAATGCGTATAGGTACCTCTTTATGTGATTGCACAATTGTTGGGCTCCTTATTGGCAACGTATGTTGGGCAGCTTGTCTTCAGAGTTAATCCAGAAGTTATTATGACAGTACCTTTAAAAGATCATGCTTTTGCAGCCTTTGTAGCTGAATTCATTGCCACCTTTATCGTTACATTCCTTGCTGCATCACTAGCAAGAGATGCAAAATCTGTAAGTAAAGACCAGAGCTGCCATTTCTGTAACTTTTAAACACCGACTCGGACACACTATAATGAGCCAATGTGTCATTTCACAGGTTGGTCATCTAGCTGGTTTTGTGATGGGCATAGCCATTGCACTTGCAGTCTTAATTACTGGGTATGTGTCTCCTTGGTCTAACACAAATTAATTATTCGTCATCTCTATGTCCAAAATTTATTGTCACGTTGAAATTGTAATTTGAACTAGTTACGTGTTAACTCTCGATAAAGACAACATTTCATTTTTTACTGCAATTGTTAATAATCAAAGACAAATTTTTTTTTTTTAACCTTGAGCAGGCCACTTTCTGGGGGATCATTGAATCCAGCAAGATCAATAGGACCAGCAATTCTTGCTTGGAAACTTGATCAAATATGGATATATTTCATCGCCCCAGTTGCTGGTGCAATTCTTGGAGTTTTAATGGTTCATGCTTTGTGTCTTCATCATCAGCCTCCTCAAAGTCATAATTTATCTGCTGCAAGGAGTGTATTGCCATAGATTTTTAAGTTTACCTTTCATTTTAGAGGAAATTATTACTTCTTTTTATGTTCTTGATTAGTTGTGAGAGACAATGCTGGAAAAGTTGTTGGGTTAGTGAAATGTTAGGGTGTTGCTAGTGAAATCAGTGGCAGGAGAAGACTATGATTCACCTCCACAGCTGACTTATTGCAGCTCAGGTATTGTATTAACAATAGAGAAACATGAATGAGAAATTGAGAATGTAAGCGTTGTATTACAACCCACAACTAATGTACAATAAGCCTACTAGCACCCTCCTTCAAGATGGAGCATGAAAGTCACAAATTCGCAACTTGTTGAGTTTGTATAAAAACAATGTCATATGCCTAAAGGCTTAATAAAGACACTAGAAAGCTATTCTTTCATTGATGCATGTATCGTTCAAATGACACCTTCTTGGATCACATCTATTAGGACATAACTTAGGTCTTAAGCCCAATTATCGACACAGTGACAAATACCCTTCTTAAGGATCAAGTTTATTATAATCAAATCTATTATCTCTAAACCAGCTCGTAATTACACACACAATTACGGAATTATCCCTGATTTGTTCATGAAGTACAATTTAGTCACCTCTAAGTATGATTATAGATACTTGACCTGTGATTAGTATATGTAACTTTTTCTACTTCGTATTCTCTTTCTAGTCTCTGCCCTTTCTCACTCTAGTCTTGAGCATGGGAGGGGCAATCTTGGGATCAACCCCCTAGGGTAGCTTACTCTTTTCTTTTGCAGGCTTTCATACATCTTGGAGATAACACCCTTTATCTACTTTCGTCAAGTCACTAAGCTCGAATTTTCTCCAAAATACCCCTCGTATTACTTAGTGATTTTTTTTTTTCGAAAAACATCTCACACAATAATTGATATCGACCTCAATATGCATTGTGCGTGAAATACTAGATTAAATTTTGGGCAATGCACAACCCCGACTAATGGTCACAAAATGTGTTTGTTGCGCGAGGAATAACAACACCCACACTATCAAGTAAAGATTAGAGCCAATTTAACACCAAAACGATAGTGGCCATCGAATTATACAGGGCTTCCACCAACGAACACAAGATTGTATGTTTGTTTCTTAGTTTTTCAAGAAATCGAGGAAGAACCAATTAAGAAACATCAAACTTGTAATTGAACGTCTCGTTAGAGAACAACTTCAATCTGAGTCCATCACGTACACCATCTTTTAAGAATATTCTTTCATAGATTCACTAAGTTATGGCCAATAAAGTAACTTGGCCTCCAAGAGCGCATTCATTTGCAAAACATGTTGATATTTGTCACTATAACCTACATTTTATTTACAACATTTGATTTGCCTTGTGACCACATTCTTCTCAGGATAGGTAATAAGTTCTAATTAAATCTTGTAGATGAATTAAGGGAAGATGTTTGCAATCTTATTTATCATCTTAATTAGGGTTGTAAGTAGGTGCTTGAAATATATACATCATATATAGATATATATTGGTGCTTGAGATATATACATCATATAAGTAGGTGGTTGGTGGCGAGATGGTGGTGCTTCAATGGGAGAAAGCTCAAAATCTGCTTCAATGGAGTGGAGAAAAGAAGAAAAAAGAGACAAAATGATCCATCCACTTTAATATGCGGCGATGATGATAAAAATATGGGAAACGTCTAACACGTTTAGCGGTGACCCATAGGTTTACTATGAAATTACCAAGTGACAATGAGGAATAACTCAGGTGCTTAGAGTTACACTCCTGATTTCAAGATCTTATAATTGATTCTCATCACCACTTTTATGGCTTTCTAAACACTTAAAAAATAGTGGAAAGCTAAACGTCGCCCTTGAATCTCTACAAATAACCTAAAATGACGTACGTAGCTTTATTATTAAAATAATTATTTTTACCTAAACTTAACACTTTTACCCTACACAAACATTTTAACCGTTCTTTCTAGCGTTCACCGGCCACCAACGATCACGTTTAACCACCAACCACCATATATAATTTTCAAAATCAAACAAATAATTTAAATTTTGCAAAACCTGATTCGTTGGATTTCATGAAAGATGACGAAAGACCGAAAACACCACCTACGTTGCTCGCCAGAGGCTCATCAAAGAGTACGGAATCGATACGATTATTTAATTGTTTTGTTTTCGAAATACCCAGAAAACGCCTAGAAATTTCGAAAAACCTAGGTAGAAACGCCTAGTTTTTTCGAACACCCTAGGCAGTTTCGAAAAAAATAAGCTTTTCTGCCTAGGTTTTTCAAAATTTCTGGGCGTTTGCCTTGGAATTTCGAATTATTATTTTCTTTTTGCTTTTGAATTTCACGTATTTGTTATTATTATTATTTTGACTATATTAGTTGTGTTTGTTATTATAATTACTTGTGTTTGCTATTATAATTAGTTGTGTATTGTTAGAATTATTATTATTATCATTATTAGTTGTTATTATTATTAGTTGTGCGTTGCTAGAATTATTATTGCTATTAGTTATTATTATTAGTTGTCTCAGGTGACCGCCTTCCTCTTGTCCTTCCTCGTCATTTCTACGGCTAACTGTGTAAATCGAGAAACTGGAGGTAAAAAAAGGTGGTGGTGGGTGGTTAAAAGAGGAGGTGGTGGTGGTAGTGGTGGTGGTTTAGAGAGAGAATTGTTTTTAAGAGAGAGAAGAGGGAGTGACGGGTTGGGGGGTAAATTTTTTTTTTTTTGATATAAGGGTAAATTTGTAAAATAAATTTTATTTAACAACCCAACAAAATAACTTGTAAATTTGTAATATCTAAGTCTACAACCAATGAAAAAACAGGAAACACGTCACAAATAGTTACTTCTCCAGAGTTCGATTACGAATTATTACAAGTCCAAACTCCAATTTCTTTCTTAAGAGTAGTTAAGACCCAAAAATCCAGAATTCATCAATTTCCTTTCCTATATAAAACTTTCCCAGAAATCACAATTTCTTTGTCTGAAAAGTCAATTTTTTCAATTCGTTCTCTTAATTGGATCCCAACTTCACTTCAATTTAGGGATCCGAGAAAAAACTCAGAATCAAACATCAAAGATGCATTCTTTTGGGTACAGAGCTAATGCACTGCTAACTCTAGCAGTAACCATTCTTGCAATTATGTGCTGCGTCGCTTCTTTTTCTGACAATTTCAATTCCCCTTCTCCTACTGCCAACATAAAGGTCCAAATCTTCATTTTTATCTCTATGATTTTAATTTTTCTAAATTTTTTTTTTATTATTTTTATAATCTTCACTATTTGTTCTGATCTGGGTGTTTTTGGTTTTCAATTTAGGTGGTCAACATTCACAGATTTCAGAAACTCTCCAGTGGCAATGATGAGGTAATTTTTCAATTTATGGGTTTGTAATTTTTATGGAGTTTCTATATATTTTTGGTATCATCATTTTTTTTATTTTTTATTTTTAAATTAATGCATGCCCCTTTGAAAAATATGTATACACTAGCAATTGACTTGGAAAAATCAGGAAAGGATGGATTTAATTATCTTCTGTGTGATAATTTCCAGCTGAAGACGTATAATAATGTCTGAGAATGTGATGTATAAGAATTCACCATTTCATGGTTTTTTGCTTTATTAAATCCACTGTTATCTTTTATTTAAGTGCCATTTTAAGCTTTTGAATTTGAAGCTAGACAATTGAGACGCGCAAATTAGACATACACCCGGTTACATGTAGTTCTTCACGCAACCGAGTTAGTTTAATATTTTTCTTGTAAAAAAGGACAAACGTATTAAACAAAAGCACATAACATCAAAATGAAAGCACAAATATTATTATAGAAGCATTGAAGCACATTGATAATAAATAAAAGCACATAAACAACAATTGGTAATGAATGATAGCATAGAAGCATAATAATCATTATAAAAGCACATTACATTTTATAAAGAAGCACATTACATTTTACAAAGAAGCACATTATTACATAATAAAACCCCAATACATTGTTAATTCAACCGGGTGTAGCTTCTACCCATTGAGACATATCTTCTTAATCTTTTTTCTTTATTCTCCTTTCGAATTGGAATTGTTCTTAAAAGTTTTATTTTTCCAGGTTGCCATGGTGCTGAATATTTCAGCCGATCTCCAGTCATTGTTTACATGGAATACAAAGCAGGTTCATCATGATACTTTTATGCAATCCTAGTTTTAATGTTTCTCTTGTCATGCTTTTGTTGAATTTTTCCGTTGTTTATGTTCCTACCTGTCTCCTCCAATCTCGGTCATAAGAGATTATCTTCAAAAAACTGTGGCAGCTAGTTGTACGATTCACTGTTTTTATGTAATTCTTGCTTTTCTTTGGCATTAAGTCAATAAAGGTCAACTTGAACTAGGTGCTTGGTTCTCTATTATTGTGTTAGAACCTGCTTTTGATAGTTACTCTAGCATAACCTCTTTCTTAGGGCTGGGCAATTATAGTTATTGACTAAGCTCTTCTGTTATTTTTGTTGCAGGTGTTTGCATTTGTTGCTGCTGAGTATGAAACCAAAAAACATGTACTGAATCAGGTAATTGGGTGATTGGACACTATTATCTTGTGTGTATGTGTGTGTGTTTTATATCCTTTTTCTGGTGTTCATCAAATGCAAAACTACCAAACTGCTGCAGTCAAAAATATTTGTTGTTTAATTTGAAATCATCTACCTAACATTTTGTACCTGCTTACCTTACGATGGATACTATAGGAATATTGTTTTTACAACTGATGTGAGCTTCTTCAATGGGGGAGGGGGAGAGAGGCGGTATTAGGGTTTTCTTTTTTTTTTTTTTTTTTTTAACTTCTTTGTGGATTGGGACTTTAAAGTTTAAAACCAACTTTATTCCCTCCTAATGCCCAAAGAATAAGGAAAGGCTGAATGATGTTTAGTAATTCAGAACTCACCTGTGCAGTTGTGCTGTATAGAAGGAATATTGAAATGGGATCAATTGCAAAGAATGGGATCTTATTCCCCATAATAAGAATTCTTAATTAAGCCAAAGTACAAGATTCTGATAGAATAGATCTCATGTAAAAGATATTGGATGAAGATGTAACGATTTTTTGTGGTGAATACCTTACAAAATACTTCCTCTATTTTATTTTAAATGCAACACACCTTTTTAACACGTTTTTTTAGGAGATGATTAGATTAGGTAAATGAGCTACTGTATCAAAATAATTTCAACACCAAGATTATAAAAGGGTTAGGTATCACATGTATAAATTATTTTGATTAATTTGTCCGTTTATATTACTTAATCTCTTCATCAAAGTGTGTGCCAAGAAGGTGCATGTGTTGCATTTAAAAGAAAATAAAGGAAGTATATAGACTTCTTTTTTATCTACCACTACCTATAATCACCAAAGTTGCTCCCTGCGAATATGAGCTAAAAGGCATCTCCAATGGCAAGCTAATTGTCAAATTACCTTACTTTACATAGTAATATTTTAAGCTAATTTGTACCCCAATGGCTAGCTATTACCTTGCTACTTAATTGTGTTTCACATGTCAATAAATAGTTGGCTAGCATTCTTCATCCTTTTGTCAAGCAAATTAGCTTGCCCAAGCTAGTTATTTTAGCTAAGCTAATTTAATTTTTTAACTCCGATGGTTAAACTAGTAGATTGGGACTTTTTAAAATTGCAAGTAAGGCCCCTATTCTGGTATGGATGGAAGACAATCCTATATCTCGTGGGGTTTAATAAGCTTCCTTATGAGCCTTCGATGTTTAGAATTTGTGAAGGGTCAATTTTATCTATTCTGGTGTGGTGTGATCATTCTCCTAGAAATATATTCTCTATGAGGTTCTTTGTCTAGCTGTTTCCCATCAATATGGTTGGATGTAGATGGTCATTCTGTGATCATTCTCCTAGAAATATATTCTATATGAGGTTCTTTGTCTAGCTGTTTCCCATCAATATGGTTGGATGTAGATGGTCTCAAAGAGTTTACTATAAATTTTATGAGTTTGCAGATCAGTAGAAGCATAGCCAATAATCAGAAATTCAGAAGATAGGGTAACTGGGACTTTGTGTTCTCATCAGCTAAATGCTTCTAAAAATTTTTTTTTAACAGCTGACAGTATTAACTAGTGGGATACCTTACTTTGTACCATACAGGAATTGCTGCAACTGAATATGATGACCTAACCTAAGAAATCACATACCCTACCTGACACATGCTATTTTGTCAAATGTATTTCAAGGAGTCTTTGATGTCTTAACTTGATGTATAAAGTAAAATCTTTTGTGGAGATGAAAGAACTTGTCGGCAATATGCAGACCACAACATCTAAATAATGGTTGAGAATCTTTTTGTTCTAATCCGACAACTTTTGGCTATCTGCTATATGGCTTGCATATGGCTATTATGCTCTGCGATGCTTTATGTTAATTTTGTCAACAATTAAATCTAAAACAAAAATCAACAAGAAGGCTTACATAAGGTGGGGCTTTTGATGTGACATAGGCATCCCTAGCTCACTAGCTGGTTGTTATGGGATGAGCGTTGATCGACCATGCGGTGCATGAATCCCCGAGGCTCGATCCACGCCAACTTTCCCCTATATGCGCAACAAGCATTAATAACAGCTACAATAGAAGATAAAACTCACAGTGATGTGAACCTGCACCAAGACACATGCATCAGTATAGGCACATAGGCATAGGGAGGTTGCCTCATATAGGACTTGTTGTGCTGAGGCATCGCGGAAATTTTGAGCTCGTGACGTGGTGCTCCAAACCCTTACAACTACCTCTTTTATGCTAAGGCCTTGTTCACTTCACTTTTTAAAAAAAAAAATTCGGTAAAATTAATTCCAATTTAGTAAAAATAAGTTCATTTCAGTAAAAATAATTTCAGTTTAGTAAAAATAATTTTTGATCAGTAAAAATCAGTAGCTTTAAAGGAGAAATGTACAAGTAATAGAGAATCAGATATATATAATAGAGAATCAGTAAAAATAATTTCAGTTGAGTAAAAATAATTTCAATTCAGCAAAAATAATTTCAATTTAGTAAAAATAATTTCAGTTTAGTAAAAATAATTTTAGTTTTGCAAAAATAAGGTGAAGAGAACATGGCCTTAGTCAGATTTGATATAATGGTGGGTGGGAAACAATTCTGTAATAGTTTTGATTAGGGATGTTTATTATAACAGATTCAATGATCTTGGTAACCATATCAGTTGTTTGGGCAAGGTCAAGTTCTTTGTCAACCATATCACATTGATACTGTTACAGGTGCAGCTGAAAATGTTGTGTAGAATTTAAGGTTGACTGACATTGAACAGAAATTGTTTTCTCCTCTCAATTTGTTCCTTCTATGTTGATGATTCAACATACAGTCCATGTGATTTCATTTTTAAACCTGTTAAACTTTACTTCCTCTGTTCCATGCTATTTGCTACATGAGGTTGGGGTACACAAATTAAGGAGATCACGTGAATTGGAGAGGAATAGAGATATAAGAGGGACTATGTGATGAGTAGAGATAGTGAGAACGCAATATCAAAATTGGATATATAGCAATTGATATAAAACTTCCAATTAAAGGAAATGTAAGTATAGAACAGAGGAAATCAGTCAAAATTTTGATACACCAATGAAGTTTAATTAGGTGATACTTTTGGGCAGCTCTTTTGGTTGGTCTGCTATCTTGAAAAGGGTCTAATCTTGAAAGTCCTTTGTTCTTTTAAAAGGCACACTAAATATAAAAAATTCTTGGCCAGTACTGATGTTATTTTTGCTAGGTCATGCTCTCAGGTTTATACCTCTGGAAAACCCTTTGCAATAACTAATTTGTTCTATAACTATTTCACTAGACACTTTCCTCTGCAAACCTTCTTGTCATGCTCTCAGGTTTATACCTTTTGCGATAACTAATTTGTTTTACAATTTTCTTTTGAGCAGCTTTCACTCTGGGATACGATCATACAATCAAAAGAAAAGGCAAAGTTTTCAGTTAGTATCTCAAACAAGTACCGATTTACTGATCAGGTAGGAATTACCTGTCTGCTTTCGTCTGTTACCCTATTTTTGGCTCTGGCTTCCCTTAGCAGTAGGCTGTAACATCTTATTTGTCGTCTTTCCTTGCAATTTAATGCAGTGGCTGCCATTATACATAAAAGCATTATCGTAACTTTATGGCCACTGAGCTTAACTTGTAGCAACTAGTTTTTTGAAAGCTTTGTAATTATTACATGTTGATTCCAGGGAAGCAATTTGCGAGGCAAGGAGTTCAACTTGACATTGCACTGGCATGTAATGCCCAAGACTGGAAAGATGTTTGCTGACAAAATTGTGCTGTCAGGATACCACTTACCAGAGCAATACAGATGATCCACCTATTGAAAGTTAAGACTGAGGTTTAGAGTTTCTTATTTAAGGATTTTAACATCACATGTTTAGACAAAAGTTAAAGCAATGAAAAGATAAGCTTGTGGACTTTTCATTGTCAATTAAAGGTAAAAAAGAAAGCTTTGAATTTCATTCTAGTTAAATAGCAACAGAATTTTCACAATGCAAAGCTGATCTTCACTACTGTCACAATGATCAATGATATAATTTTGGGTATATGACCATAAAAAATGGTAGAAGCATGGCCACAAATTTTTCTTGGCACCGTGATCACGGCTAAGCTAAGCCTTTGGGCGCTTTTTGGTAACAAGCTAATTTGTGTTCCTGATAAAAACTTTAGGTTGTGGATGCTCTGCAGTCTGCTCTTATTTTTCAGTTGTGGTTGTCCTAAGGCAATCTTCTTTCTTCTAGGCAGTAGACAAGCATGAAAGGTTCGAGTATAAGTAGACAAATTACTTTTAAGATCATTTCTTAAAAAAGATATAATTAAAAATATGATTGTCAAAGGAATGGGTTAATAATTGGAAACTCAAAATGCTGCAATGAATTTTAAATCAATGAAGTATTAATTTATACTTGTATATATTTATATGATTCAACAACTTGATTGGTATATTTATGATATTGTAGCTTTGTTTATTTACAATAATTGTCATCAAAAGGAAACCATTTGATTAAAGAAATTAAAATACTGTAGCATAATTTTATGGACTTCTTGGCATCTTGCTCACAGAAAAAAATCTTAATGAATTAAAATAATCTAACAACTAGGAGTATGATTCAATCCACTTAAGAAAATTATAGTTTAAGTATGATGATTCTTAGTATATGATTCCAATCGAAAATTTGTTTCTTTGTTGGGGGTGTAAACATACATGATACATCCACAAGGAATCTGAAAGGAAGATTCATTTTAGTGTGCGCTGGATGTGACAGTGACTGGCACTAAAATAATAAATAAAGCTTAATGTAAATGCATAGGTCATTATTATTATTATTATTATTATTATTATTATTATTATTATTATTATTATTATTATTACTACTACTCCGTATTATTTTGGCTTTTTTTTAATTAACGTGTTTAGTACTACCTTTGTTTGCATTTACGATGTAGACACTTTGGTTGGATCTTTTAAAATGGATTTAGAATTCATTCCATCGATTTTATTGTTTGGTTGAGGTTTTTAACTATAAAGCCTAATACTCAAAGGATTCTAACTCTATGTCATCGCCCTAAAATTTCATACCCACCTCACCTCTTAAGATTCACAATTCATTTCATTAATGAAGTGTATAATCTATTCCAACAATATAAAACAAATAACTTTAGATTAGTATGGGATTTAGAATCCAGGTATCTCTCTAGTTTCCATACCAATCTATTCCACTTTAACGAACCAAACATCCTCTTAATCCTTTCCTTCGTTTTTGCTCTTCCCATTTATATATACAAAATATTTATACAGTCAAAGTGTTTATTAACAAACGAGCACAATCAAAATGGAAAGAATATTTAGGAATGGGGTGAGTACTATTTGACACAAACTAATAAAATGTGAGCTATGATTTGGTTGACTTGACAATTAATTTCCCATAAGCATTTATATTTCATTGGAACTAAAATCCCACATCATATTTTGTTTGGTTGTTATGAAGACATTTGCAAATCATTGAAAATTTGGGTTACCAAGGTAGGGTTTGGTAATCTAATTAATGTTTTGGATTATGAATTTGCACTCACTACATTTTCACTTTTTAGGGTCAAACACCCCTATTCCATATTCTCATGACAAAATAATTCATGAGTGAGTGTATGGACATTGTTATTGAAGTGAGAGAGTGAGAAAAGAAAAATGATTGGGGAGTAAAACAAAAAAAATAGGGAAAAAACATTAAATGGAAAAATATAATCAGTGTACGTGGGATAAAATGGTAAAATGAATTTGCCAAATATAGAGTTTAGTAATATGTTAAGAACTTTTAAATATAGACCAAACTAGAAAGTTTACTCCTGTAACATTTAGAAAGGTTACAGGTCTCATAATTTCAGACAAACAAAGCATTTGAAAAATATAGATTCTGATAAGGGTTGATAAATATTACCCGTTTAAATTACAATTATAATAAATTTTAATAAGATCTAATAAATTCAAGTAAGTTCATACTAGTATAAATTAAATTTAGGTGAAAAACAGGTAGATATAAGTCATAAAACACACCCTAAGTCAATATCATTATTCTTGTAACTCTCTAAATACCCAATTATTAATATTTCCTTTGGTTTTTTTTTCTTTTTCTTTTTTACAAGTAATACTTTTGATTTTGTTTTTGCAAGTACATACCCTATAAATTTCAATAATAATATTTTAATTACTAATAAGTAAAAATTATTAAAAAAATCTGATATTATTTATGAAAATATAAATCAAGTTGAATCTAACCAGATTTTCCATGACTATACTTCTTCTTAACTTTAAATCATTGGAGAGGTAAATCAAGGTCGTGTGAAAAAAAAAAAAAAAAAAAAGCATCATCGATCTACAGTTAACATAATAGACTTTTTATTAGATTTATTAAATTCGAGAGGGATCATATGCAATCAAAGCGAATAAAAAAAAACAAATTATCATATACGATTCCAAATTAGCCTACTAGCCATTAGCCAATAGCTAGTGACCTATGTCCAAACAAAGAAACATTGAATTTTAAAGTAAGAGATATGCATGGGAAAAATTAGGAATGTCTTTTCACAAGACCTGTGTTCAAACGAAGAAACTTACAATTGACAAACATTTTGAGAAGGAAAAAAAAAAAGAAGGCAATTAGGCATGCCACTACTCTTCACCTAAATTTCGTGATCGAATATTGTTGAGTAATAAGGTTTTAATGATTGTAAACTAATGATGATTATCTTTCTAACGTGTTTGTTAAGTTGTGCATAGAAAGAACCCAAGTTATGTTCGGAACAAGATACAAGGAACCCTAGTAATGACAAATATAAATATAAGGAACTTGAGCAATATATAATAAGCAATAGAAGGAACAAGAACAATGATGAGTTATATATGGCTGATAAGCATGAGATGGCGAAGGAACCATGAAGGTAACTATGTAAATAGGTGTTTGCATATGTTAGTTTCATGAGGTAAGTATCCTATGCATACATGAGTTGTATATGTGTAGGAGTATTTACATAGACTTTAAGTTTAATTAGTTCTCTCACTTGAAGTTTGTTTATGACAAACAATTTTCAATCTAATGTTCTCTTAAGTGTTTATGTGAAGACAGAAACTGACTTAGGTGAAGTCAATGGGTTGGAACATAGAAGACTTCAAGAGGAACAAGAGAGAATGAATGAAACTAAAGCAGGTTCTCCTACGAGAACCAAACCACGAAGGAACCTGAAGGTATTCTCCAACGAGATCCAGAAGGAACTTTCGGCAGGCTTTCCCACGAGAGCCGGAGCATGATCCCTAACAGGTACATGAGGTGTTCCGTAACAGGTACACATAAGGAGCTTCCTAACAAAAGCATGACATCAAGCTAAAGAGTGAAGCTTGGACTGCGAAGATGACAGCAAGTTCCAGATGAACTTGGTCTGCGAGTTCCAGCAAGGAATGAAGAAGAGTGACAGCAAGTTCTAGTTAGGAACTTGGCCTGCATTTTCAGAAGTCACTACTAGAAATAGGCCAATTTCCGATGGACACATATTTCCGTCGGAAAAATCAGAAATTCCGACGGATTTTTATTCCATCGGAAATTTCCGACGAATTATAACAATCCGTCGGAAAATTAAATTTCCGACGGAATTAAAATCCTTCGGAATTTAATTACATAAAAAAAAAAACCCAACCCTCCCCTTTAATCTCTGTTCTTTTCTCTCTCTCCTCTCCTCTTTCCTCTTCTCTTCCCCCTTCTCTCTCCGCCCTCCTTCTCTTCTCTCTCTTCTCCTTCTCCTTCCTTCATTTCTCTTCTCCTTCTCAGTTCTCCTCTCTCCTCCGCCCTCTCTTTCTCTCTCTTCTCCTTCTCCTTCCTTCATTTCTCCTCCTTCTCAGTTCTCCTCTCTCCTCTCTTCTCTGCCCTCTCTTTCTCTCTCTTCTCCTTCTCCTTCCTTCATTTCTCTTCTCCTTCTCAGTTCTCCTCTCTTTTTCTCAGTTCTTCTCTCTTCTCCTTCTCCTTCTCCTTCACACACCAACACCGCCGCTGCGCAACCAACACCACAACCACCGCTGATTATTTTGAAGGTTTTTTAGGCCAAATTCGACCATTAAAAGCCTAGATCTAGACAATTCATGGCCGAATTTAGCCTTGTTAAACCGTTTTCGTGGTGAAATCAGAAGCCCATTTCAATTCAAGGTATGTTTTATGTTTTAATTTTTCGCTTTTCTGAGTTTTTTTTCTTTGTTTTTTTAAAAAAATTTGGGCTTTGAGTTGTTGTGTATGCGTGTGTGATGTGTGGGCTGGTGGTGGGTGGTGATTTGTGAATTTTTGGGTAGTTTCGTGGGTTAGGGTTGGTTAGGGTTTTGGTGGTTTCGTGGGTTTTGGTTAGGGTTTTGGTGGTTTCGTGGGTTTGGTGGCGTGGGTCTGGGTGGTGGTTGTGGGTAGCTGTTTGTTCTAGATCTGGGTGGTTTTAGGTTTTTTTGGGTGGTTTCGGGTATTTTTGGGTGGTTTCGGGTTTCTGGGTGGTCTGGTTGGGTTTGGTGGCGTGGATTAGGGTTAGTTAGGGTTTTGGTGGCGTGGGTCTGGGTGGTGGTTGTGGGTGGCCGTTTGTTCTAGATTTGGGTGGTCTCGGGTGGTTTTTGGGTGGGTTAAGGTGGTGGGTTCAGATTAGGTGGGTCTGGTGGATGGGATCTGGTTAAGCTGGTGGTGGGGGGCATTTTTTTTTTGTTTTTTTTAAGCAGTTTCCGACAGAATTTCCGTCGGAAAGTTCCGGCGGATTTGTATTCTGTCGGAAATTTCCGACAGACTTTCCGGTGCCGGAATTCCTCTTCCACGAAAAAATTCCGTTGGAAAAAGTGTTCCGACGGAAATTCCGTCGAAAAGGTCGAATTTCCTACGAAGGGTTTTGCGATAGAACATTCCGACGGTATTCCGTCAGAAGACCAATTTCCAACGGAATTTCGACTGATTCCAACGGATTATTTCCGTCAAAATCAAGCTGTTTTCTAGTAGTGAGTGGAACATTGCCCCAAGATTCAGAATACATCAAACTACAGATTCCAGAACAAGAGTTTCAGAGAAGCAACATGAAGACGGAGAAACTGAAGTATATCGCTCTAGGATTCATGTAAGTATGTTGGACATAAAAGTCAGTCTTGAACAAGTCTAAAG